ATGAGCACACGAATTTCGAAACGATGCCGATCGTGTCAGGCGCGTTTCGAAAATTTAACGATCCCCCGTATGATATTATGTGGGCTCACTGCTCATATTGCCTCGGGAAGGACGCGAATGATGCTGGTTACAGATACCGATGTGTTATTCGTAATCGCTTCTGCTTTTCATAATATATAGTTGTTGTATCTCTTTGAGTTATTTTTTTATTTTTTTCATCAATGCAACATCTCGTAAACATAAAATGATACACGGTCCCTTTCATTTTCCGAACCCCTTGCATGCGCTCTTCTCGATTTTCGTGGAATATGCAATGAAATTAGCAGGTATACCAACAAAAATGATATCCACCTACAATGATACATCAATAAAGTACGTATGTATGTACTGTCAATTGCTCCCGCATAGGAGCCGCGTGATGTGCCGGAAGTTCGCGGTAGGTAAGTCTATTGTGTCGCTGCCCAACCGCGAATACTTACCGTGACGTCACGCGGGCGTAGGTGCTGCCCTGCTGAGCGTGACGTCACTGAGCACTATGTGCTTGATCAATGATATACGCATATCTATTATTGTTACATCACCGTATACAACTTGTATACTAATGATTTTAGATGCATACTTTCTGTCGTTTGGTATAAATTTGGTCCCCTCGATTCACTAGTGCAGCACTTGTCTCTGTCGCACCTTGTCGACTGTTTTGACGAACGATCGATCTCAAGCTGCATAGGCGTTTCACCACTGATTTTGCTATTTCAAATTATTTCTGTACGTTTTAATGTGTGCTATTTTCTGTCGCAGTAGATTATGGCTGAATTTGGTAAGACCGACGGCTGTATCTACTGAAACTAATAGAGATGCAATGGACTCGTTTACGAGCAGCCGCTTGGATATTTAATATAATGATCAAGATATTGTATAAGCATAGAACCGAGGGAAAAAAAAAAGACAGAGGTGATCTTACTTTTGTATTTACTGGTGTTTAACGAGAGAGACGGCGAAGAGTATAGTATATAGAGTTGGAATTGGATAATCGCGCGAGAAGAAGAAATTTCCGTTAAACTAGATTCAATTGGGGTTTGCCGTTTACAAATTGTTTTTTCATGACAACAGATGTGTGTGCCCCTGCACTTACGATCGATTATCGCCTGCGGAGCTTTTTACCGCGAGCCTCGTGACGAAAGATCGCCCTAATGGGATAATTGGGCGGATAATTTGCCGGTTAACGTCCCGTCCTTCCTCTCCCGCCCATCCGTACGCTTTTTTGTCCTTTCGGGCCAACTCGACTCCGGTGCCCCAATGAAATAACAATACTTGAACTAAGCTGGTATGTAATTGATGAAATGTCATTTTAACAGCACGACAATGAAATCGACGAAAGCTCTTGATACCTCGTAGTTGGGTGCACTTGGCAGATTTATGCGCTTAGCAAAGATGAAAGTACAAGTTTATCAACAGCATCCCACTGTGCGATTCAACATGTTGGTATGGTCAATTGGGTGTGTTATAGTTTTTTTTTTTCCAAGTGTTGCGCTAAACCAACAAAATCGGTGCAGAACACAAGGCCTCGCGTACATATGTTTGCCAGTTATAATGTATAGTAGCATATTAGCCGTTGGGTAAAGGTCTCCTCGATACTTTGTTTTGGATCGGACGTGGGGGTTGCAGGCAATGACGCACAGTAGGAAGAGCGAGTCTTCCAGTAATACTCGTACTAAGGAAAAAAAAAAAAAAAGAGGGAGAGAGAGAGAAAAAAAAGAAAAAACCGATCCATACCACTAAAGTGGCTAATTAGTCACTCGAGCTCGCACACGGAGCGTAAAGGAGCACCGATCGAGGACAAGCGGCGAGATTGGGTCAAAACGGGACGAGGAAAAAGAAAGAAAAAAAAAAAAAAAAAAAAAAAAAGGTACGAGAGTGAGCACTTGTATCGCGGTTTTCCATCAAAAAGCGAGAGAGACGATCGGCGGGGGAGTAAATTGGAGCCGAAAGGCCTCGCGATTTTGGTTATGCGTTAAAGTAAATGGACTTTTGCTGCTGCCGTTGTTGTTGTTGTTGTTGTTGTTGTCGGCTCTCCTCCGGTCCCTGGCTTACCTTGTCGCAATAACGTGGTCATGGCCCCGTGCGCCGCGAACCGATCCGAACCGATCTCCTCTCTCCCTATACTCTACAGCCGAGCGCTTGCATTTCCCGCCGTACAGGTATATACCTGATTTTACTCCTCTAATAAAATGTGTACAGCTATACACACACGTGCGCACTTCTGGATGTATATCGGTATTGGCAACAACAACGGAGCCGCGGGAGCGAGAGAAACGGTAGGCCTCCTTTGTCCATTTATGCATGCAGTCAGAAACAGAGCGCAGGGTGCGGAGCGCCGTTGGCGCGACCGAGCGAGTCAGCGGCGACGACATCGGTGGAAGAAGTGCCGTCCAACGAGGCGCGAGCGAGGTCCTTTCTTTATTAGGAAGCGTTACGCACGCCCCCCCTCCTTAATCCCCCGTGTCCCGCGAATGACGAGGATGGAACGACATTGGCGCGCGACTCGCCGACGACGACTCAGCGACGCACACGCACGAGTTTTTTTTTTTTTTTTTTTTTAATTATTACGTCTTTTAAAGCGAAGGTCTCGTTAGCGCAATGTCGGTAACGCGTGGCTTTCAAGAATTTCTCAATGACCAGCTCGTGTGTGTGTACAGGACGCGCGCCGGTTTGTGAAACGTGCGAGGCTGCAGTGACGATAATTGCCGGTGACACTGAATATGACGGAGACACGAACGCGTGTTTGCCGAAAATATTTATACCCGATCGCAAAAAGCGTGGGNTTTTTTTCGATTAATCATAAAAATCACGCGCTGAAACAGAAAAAGTAGAAGAAACCGCAAGCGGGAGAGTAGGTATATAGCAGTTGCGTTACGCGCGATCGTTCGCATGGGTGTATATTTTATGTATACACACACGGAGGGGCGACCTTCTTGGCGTGAGGCCGCCGCAAAAGAGCGTCTTTTCTTTCGCTCCTTTTTCTGCGATAATTGCGTTTTTGGCTCCTTCTCGTTTCGTCGACTCGCGTCGGTCTTTTGTCGGTCGCTCGATTCTTTTTTTTTTTTTTTCTCTCTTTCTCGTTCGAGAGAAATCGCTGAGAGAGAGAAGGCCACGGTGACACGGCGCGACAGATGCAGATATTGACAGAAATCGGCGCATAATATTCCTTTATCACCGGATATCGCGCTTTTTCGTGCGCGAGTTGTTAACCGATGTACCTACTTGGTGTGACCGGTAATTATCGCTCGATTGTCGCCGATTTTTTTTAAGTACCGATCGACAACACCGAGATCGCTGTTTATCACGTATATACACGGCACGAGCTCTACAGACGGTACAACTAAATAAACGTGGTGTACCATGTAGTATAAATATTATTGTATGCTCGAACGATAGTGTGAATTGTATCGCTCGTCGTTATCTCCCTCCATACACGTACACGCATCATCTTCTCGCGCAACGCTCGAGAGAGTTTGTTGCCTTGTACTAGTACACAAATAAATAAAAGTTTACATCGTTTGCTTCAAGGATAAAAATGAAAAGACTGAAAAGCTATCGCGACATGATCTCACGTCCGACGTTGTGTACACGAAAAATAACAAATAGAAAATGAAAAAAAAAAAAAAAAAGTCAGGGTTCAACTCAATTTTCCCGATTCCTCGATAGCCTCAGATCCCAGGTAATATAAACACAAAAATACGGCACTTATCGCGCAACGTAAAGAGCAGCCAAGACCCTCTGTATATATTGCCTGTCTCCCGCGCGCTCGTTTCGCAACATCCTTGTGAAATCGCGTTATCGATCTCGCTTCGAGCTACGCTAAGCTGTACACAATCTATACGATAACACGCGGTACAAACACTATGCGGGCCGGTAGTCTTGCGCGTATATTCATTCATACGGGCGGCATTGCCGTGTCGCGTCATGCAACTACGTGTATACAGGTATACATAAGCACACTCGTGTAACGAGATCGGTAAGGCGGTGCAAGTTCATCAACAATATACATTGGCTAACTATAATACGTAAGCAATCGCGGTGCACGTGCATGCATTGGAAAAAATTGGGGAAACAAAAAGGAGAAATCGGATGGAGCGCGGGCGATGTGCGTGTCCCGATCTTGGCGTGTTATTACAAACTATATTCTCTCAAACAGGACGTGAATCTGTAATCAATACCTATACACCTGTGCGTGGCGAGTTCTATTTTTATTTGCTATTATATCCACGTATTGTTTGATCGATGTACAAGAGTGGCTAACCACGAGGAAGCAACAGATCGTTTTCACTCGTTCTTACCGATCATTGTGCGGGCTCTTTTTCACCTACATTGTTCTTTTCCATGGTCCCGTGGCATGCCGATCCCGCTACTTTTTGTTTATAGATTGAAGAAGAAAATTTTTAAAAAGCGTGAATTGCAAAATTCGTGAAGACCATCTTGAAATCGGTTAAGTACGTACCCCAACATTTGTTCGATTAATTTCGGAGCCATGGCGCGCACGTCAAGTTTTTTGAGCTGCTGATTCTCGAGTATTTCCACAATAGGTAATCCAATAAATTATTCCATTCGCGAGACGAAGCTCACGTTTACTGAAACTTTGCGTGTAGGTACATATACCATGGCTCGTGTCATAACGACTGTTCAAGGCAAAATCATTGCGCCACTCCGCGATCGAGGATTCCCTCCGCGTATAAGTCCCGGCAAACTCGTTTTCTACGTGGGTTTTTGGCATAGCCACTGCTACGATACCTGCGTATAAGTCGCGATACCGGAACGTAGGTGGGAGTACAGCCGCACGAAAAACGCAAGCGAGATATCAAAAAGTCGCGCTAGGGGAGATATTTTATTGTCCATCAGTTCTCCTTGCTCACATTTTACATAACAGATCCGCACAAGCTCGCACGGTGCGGGGAATAGGAATGTACGCAACGAGTGAGTATAGCCGATCGGGCAACCCTTACCTATTGGCAGTTCCCCGCGGTCTCGACTGGCTCACGTGTCGGCCCAGAAGCTCAGCAACAACAGCAGCGACGAAGACTCGGACGGCCCTTGCTCCGCTGTCATCTCCTCCTCGGGCTCGGCCTCCAACCGCATCTTCCTCACCCACGTCCCACTGTACTACCGATCGCGCGCGCGTCTAAGGCTCGATCGCGCAAAGCGCACTCATATCGATGTTAAGTATCGCGAACGGAGCATCAATTTGTATTGTATTTTAACGGTGTACAACCAATACAGGTAAATAGTATGGGTGCGCGCGCGCGCGCGCGCGATCGGTTTGTGTATACCGATTTTTGTCGCCGAGGAGGCTCAGCTGGCTGCTCGCGCGGCTCGCCGATTCGCGGAAACTGCGCTGTTTCTTCGCGAGCGCACGCGCCCGTACCAAACTATATATACATCAACTAACTAACTCTCGTGTGCTCCTGCCGCCTACTCTCCGTGTCCCGTCCTGCACCCGCCCGCCGTTGCTATCCACTTATATACTTACCTATACTCCTATATGCCCGTAGCGGACTCGCCCGTCGCAGGAGCAGGAAAGAGAGAGAGAAAGTCATCGCTCGTCGTCGTCGTCGTCGTCGACTAGCTCACGTGTATATATATAATATACATATACGTACCCATGGGTACGTATATATATAGGCGCACACTTGGTATACCTAGTGCGCGGAGGAGGCCCTCCCTCTCCTTCTTCCATATAGTTATACCATCACCGCGATAGTCCCATGGATCGTAACACATATGTATGTGTGTATCCTGAAAGTGCAAGAGTATATTATGGCCAAGATCGGTACACGCACGTATAGGTATACATGTATATTTTACATTAATTGGTATACGGCAAGATGCGGGGGCGGAGGAGCGCGCGCAGGCGCGCGACCTTCTCCCCCTCGAGCGATCGCGTCACCTGCCCCGTTTTTCTCTCCATCAGCAAACAGCACGTAGGTATATATTATATACCCATCTATACCTACACACACGTATGTGTATGTATACCTATACATACTGCCCAAGCAAGTATATGTATATAGGCTGTCGTACCCACGATTATGTGCAAGCGTGTAGGTATATATATATACTTATGGCGTGGAGGCCCCTCTCTCTTTCCCTTCCGACACCCACGACTCCCACGCAAACAGCCTCCTCCTTCTCGCTCCCTCCGTGTCCTTTCCCTTCCCACTCTCGGATTTTACGAGACTCTCGTTTCGCTCGTCCCGATCTCGAGCCACCGCCACTCCGATCCGACTCGGTGGCTGGTTGGCACGTGCGCTCGCGCGGGTCTGTTATGGAGGCCCCCGCGAGAACTCGGCAGTGAGCTTGCAACCATTGGTACCGCAGAGCCTTACATCTGCCTGATGAAGAAAAAAAAGAGCAGTGTCTCAATTTTACATACATATATACAACATAAGTACGTCGTTGAAGAGTTAGTTCCCATCTGCTGATTATTGTTGATTCGCGTATGTTTTTCGGGAAGATCCGTTGGATTCACCGACATGTTTCACCAGTGCGAGCTTTTTCATCGAAAGAAGAATTATGTTTCGTCAAACGTTATAAGCAAATGACACCTAAGATTCACACGCAACGCTTTATTTGGTTATAACTGTAGTAAAGTTGTTGAATAATGCAGATATTATAAATATACAGGCTTACTCGAAATCACTTGTAACAAGAATTTTATTTTATTTTATTGTATTTTTTGACTGTTAACTCCAACTAATCTCCATTTTGGTAATGTATATACATAAACATGTTTTTATACAATGACAAAAAAGTATGTGGAAAAATCTACTAAATGAAGAGAATATCACGGGCGATCGTTGTAGTGCCCAAGTTGATTTTTCTTATTGTAAAATTTTTTTCATCACAATTATTTAACAAGCCGGGCAATTCGGGGTCTCCCTGCGTATATATAATATCTACAAATGTCGCTGTTTACTAGTGTAGCCATTAAAGCAACGCTGCATGATGCGCAAAAAAAAAAGTTATTAAAAAACCTGTGAAAACAATGAAACTTTTTATCGATTCCACTAATTAGCAAAAAAATGTTTACGATATTTAAGCGTACTTAATACATATATCACTTAGAGTAAAAAAGATGCACAATTTTTGCGGCTTAAGATTTTTTTTTTTTCACACTCTTCAGGATGATTTATAACGAATGATTGTCACCGAGTATTTAATAACTCGAGCTCTCGAGCATCAAAAGTGCGCGGTCTCTCTTTTCAAGTACACGCGCCAACCTTTTGCGCGCATCCGTCCCGTGTATTATTTACCTACGGATGGACAGTCATGGCAAATTAAACTTGAATTTAATTTAATAATAATTATTCACCTTCGACTATGGTACCCATACATTCGTGCCAAAACGCATCTAGTCAGCAAACCTAGATATGGTACGTGTATAGATTAGTTGACACGAAGTGTACCTCTGGTAAGTAATTTAATTTTTCTTTACAAGTTTGAAATTGATTTGAAATAACTGAATAAAATTAAAAAATATACTATTGTGAGGGATGTGCTCGAAATAAAAACAATACACAGCATGTGCTTGGCCATCTGTCCGCACAGTCATCGACGATCACTCGGGTGTAAGGCGGCTTTTACTCGTAGGTTTATCCGTCATTTACAATATTAAGAATTTATTGAATTCAAAGTTTTGTTCTCTCGTGATAATAAACACGTATCCCAAGTCCCCGACTCCACTTTCGATTGGGCCCTTATTCATAGACTCGAATAATACGTGCAGCGGCGAAAATCTGAAGCTGCGAGAGAAAGTTCTGTATTATCGATCTTAGCATTTTATAATGGAAACAGTACAGCAGAGCACTCCTATATGTAGAGTAGAAGGAGGGACGAGAAAAAGTTATCGTCAGTTGAGCCCTGCTCTGGCAAACATACGGCACACCGCTGTAAACCACCCTTTGGGGTCATTTTCCAAATTTCGCATTCAAGCTATCAAATATTAATTTCCTCTCCAGTTTTTCATTAACTGCTTGTTTCGATCACTCAGAGATCGAATCGAACCAATGGAGAACGAACTGATTCGCCCAGATTTGCCCAGCCGCTGCACGTGGTCACCCAATGCAGCCGGCAGCCATCACACGGAACGGAGCAAGTGAGTATTTTTTTTTTTTTTTTTTTTAATGTTTTGTGTACTACACTCATTTAGGTATGCGCGTACAATCAGTGAAATCTTTATCTGTCCCTCTGGTTTGCCAATGAGTGTTACGAGCGTCACGTTGTTCGTGGTTTATCATGGGTTGTGGCTGTTTATGACCGTGTGTTGACAAACAAGATGGACAGATCAGGGTTCTACAGATGGTACGTGTGTGTTGTACCTACTTGTGATTTTAATTTCATCACGAAAACCTTTGCATAGTAGAGGCTCTGCCAGAGAAAAAGTAAAAAACCCATGGGTACGTATATATATAGGCGCACACTTGGTATACCTAGTGCGCGGAGGAGGCCCTCCCTCTCCTTCTTCCATATAGTTATACCATCACCGCGATAGTCCCATGGATCGTAACACATATGTATGTGTGTATCCTGAAAGTGCAAGAGTATATTATGGCCAAGATCGGTACACGCACGTATAGGTATACATGTATATTTTACATTAATTGGTATACGGCAAGATGCGGGGGCGGAGGAGCGCGCGCAGGCGCGCGACCTTCTCCCCCTCGAGCGATCGCGTCACCTGCCCCGTTTTTCTCTCCATCAGCAAACAGCACGTAGGTATATATTATATACCCATCTATACCTACACACACGTATGTGTATGTATACCTATACATACTGCCCAAGCAAGTATATGTATATAGGCTGTCGTACCCACGATTATGTGCAAGCGTGTAGGTATATATATATACTTATGGCGTGGAGGCCCCTCTCTCTTTCCCTTCCGACACCCACGACTCCCACGCAAACAGCCTCCTCCTTCTCGCTCCCTCCGTGTCCTTTCCCTTCCCACTCTCGGATTTTACGAGACTCTCGTTTCGCTCGTCCCGATCTCGAGCCACCGCCACTCCGATCCGACTCGGTGGCTGGTTGGCACGTGCGCTCGCGCGGGTCTGTTATGGAGGCCCCCGCGAGAACTCGGCAGTGAGCTTGCAACCATTGGTACCGCAGAGCCTTACATCTGCCTGATGAAGAAAAAAAAGAGCAGTGTCTCAATTTTACATACATATATACAACATAAGTACGTCGTTGAAGAGTTAGTTCCCATCTGCTGATTATTGTTGATTCGCGTATGTTTTTCGGGAAGATCCGTTGGATTCACCGACATGTTTCACCAGTGCGAGCTTTTTCATCGAAAGAAGAATTATGTTTCGTCAAACGTTATAAGCAAATGACACCTAAGATTCACACGCAACGCTTTATTTGGTTATAACTGTAGTAAAGTTGTTGAATAATGCAGATATTATAAATATACAGGCTTACTCGAAATCACTTGTAACAAGAATTTTATTTTATTTTATTGTATTTTTTGACTGTTAACTCCAACTAATCTCCATTTTGGTAATGTATATACATAAACATGTTTTTATACAATGACAAAAAAGTATGTGGAAAAATCTACTAAATGAAGAGAATATCACGGGCGATCGTTGTAGTGCCCAAGTTGATTTTTCTTATTGTAAAATTTTTTTCATCACAATTATTTAACAAGCCGGGCAATTCGGGGTCTCCNTCCATTTTTTTTTTTTTTTTTTTTAATGGACACAGCATATAAAAAACTTTAAAAATGCAATGTTAGTCGATACGCATAACTTTGTATCAAAAAATGTTTACATGAATATCTGATTTCTTTGAATTTATAATTTTTCTGACAGGTATATTATATTATGTCTTAATGACATGTACGAAGATAATTAAAATAGTTACCTCTTAAAGTATAGAGTACAAAGACTAATGAAAAATAAAAAAAAAAATGCAATCAATGAACCGTGAATGAAATTTCGTTTAGGCATGAATGGACGCAAAAAGATTTATTTATTTTGATTCCTTACAGACAATGTGACAGGAAAAAGGTGATGCCCGACATCCTTCATGCTATCGGAGGAACACCGATGGTTCGACTGAACAATTTGCCAAAGACCCTGGGAATCCAGTGCGAAGTGTGTAAGTGTCGATTTTCTCGGCTCGTATCTCCTGAATTTTCGATTTTTGTCCCGTAACTCTTGAAATTCGAAAATTAACCAATTTCTCGGTTCAAATTCCCTTAATCACAAAATCCATACAAAGGACTCGAAAACTTGACGCAAATGCTTATATGGAACTCCCTAAACTTTCTTGCGACGAAAAAAAAAACTTTTTGCTGTAATGGTTGTCCTAACTTATTGAAAAAACGAGTTTTCGAGAAAGGGAGACAAGAGTTTATTCTCGAATTTCAAGATCCTACATGGGATAAAAATCTGAGCGTTAGCTAATAGATCAATCGACGTATGTACAAATAAATTGTTGTCAATCAAAGTAGCGAGTGGTAATCGCTAAGTGACGCGTAATGTGATAAAAATAAAAAAAAAAAAAAAAAAAATGCCCGAATGTCGAACGCCGCCAGTCGCAAAGTGCGAGTTCATGAACCCCGGGGGCTCGGTAAAGGACCGGATCGGCTTCCGGATGGTCCAGGACGCCGAGGAGCGGGGCCTACTCAAGCCGGGCTGCACGATAATCGAGCCCACGAGCGGGAACACGGGCATTGGGCTGGCGATGGCCGCGGCGGTCAAGGGCTACAAGTGCATCATCGTCATGCCGGAAAAAATGTCGGACGAGAAGGTGTCCACGCTGCTGGCTCTGGGCGCCAAGATCGTTCGCACGCCCACCGAGGCCGCCTGGAACAGTCCCGAGGGCCACATCGCCACCTCCCAGAGGCTGCAAAAGGAGACGCCCAACAGCGTCATTCTAGACCAGGTACCAATTGATCGCCTGGGGGATGACCATTTAAATTGACCAAACTCTTTTGGTGCTCCCAGTACACGAATCCAGGAAACCCCTTGGCTCACTACGACCAGACGGGCTCCGAGATTTGGGAGCAGTGCGACCGGAAAATCGACTACCTGGTCGCTGGGGCTGGCACTGGTGGCACCATCACCGGGATCGGCCGTAGGCTCAAGGAGCTCTCGCCGAGCACGAAGATCGTGGCCGTCGATCCCGAGGGTAGCTTGCTCGCCGAGCCCCCGGAGATCAACGACTCAACCGTGCAGATTTACGACGTCGAAGGCATAGGGTATATATATTATGAGCTCTCGCGGAACATCGTTTATAGTCACCTGGATCGTGTCAACCTGTTTGGTTTTCTTTTTCAGGTACGACTTCATCCCTACCGTTCTGGACCGTAGTATCGTCGACATGTGGGTGAAAACAAAGGACTCGGAGTCCTTCCGCGCAGCTAGACAATTGATCAAGGAAGAGGGGCTGTTGTGCGGCGGCAGTAGCGGGGCTGCTTTTGCCGCGGCGTTGACGTTCATCAAGGACCTGCCGGCTGATAAGCGCGTCGTCATTATTTTGCCGGATGGTATACGTAACTACATGACGAAGTTCGTGTCGGACATGTGGATGGAGTCGAGGAATTTTCTGGTTCATGCGCTTGTTAATCATTTGTTTGGGGGATAACATTTTTTTCCTTATTGTGGTGATTCGTGTACAGTTTGGCATTGGGATGTTTTAGGAACCGCCCATGCCGGACAAGAGCAACGAGTGGTGGTGGAATTTACGAGTGTCTGAGATACCCTTCAGTAAGCCCGTCTGTCTTCCGATTGATTCGACTTGCGGGGATGCTGTGGCTCTATTGAAGACCAAACACTTTCATCAAATGCCAGTCATCGATAACGAGAACAACGTCAAGGGCTTCGTTACTCTGGACAAACTATTGGCATGCATGATTTCCGGGGAAGTTAAAAAGTCCGACTTGGCGGTGAAAACTATCCAAAAACAATTTAGAAAAGTTGCCAAAGCCACGACTTTGGGGAGATTATCGAGGATGCTGCAAAAAGACGTTTATGCAGTGGTCCTCGACGAGGACAACGATGGTGCTCTCATTGGAATTGTAACTCAAATTGATCTCATGCATTTCATTTGCGATAATTAACATGATACTGACACTCTGTGCCAAGTTTTATTTTCCAAGCAAGACGTATGTAATTGATCGATTTTTATCTAGATAAATCATGTCTCCTGTTAATTGTTTTCTGTGGACAAACTTGTATCACAAATGTTTCAAATTGTTAAACGAAAAAGACTTTTACAGTTTTTCAGGTTAAACTTTTTATTGACTGATATATTTTATGATATTTTTGCAATAAATAAAACAAACATTAGAATATTGTATCCGTGTTGTTAATCGCTTATCAACAGTGAAGTACATCACAGGTTGCAGAGTAAAACAGACTCATTAGCCAAAATGCAATAAACTTAAAAAGTAAAATTAGATTCTTTGAACTTCAACATTAAACTTACAGCTAGGTAAGGCAGATACCTCTGCCTTGACAATGCAGGCGATACCAAGATTTGCCAAGCTTCCTCTGAGAAGTCCACAAGTAAATGCCAGCAAGCGTGGACTTTCCTTAAGATACTGTTTGCTTCCACTTTTGCCTATCTTGGCTAGTAACCGAAATTCATGATCATGCAGCACGTAAACTCCGTGATGATTTGTTCGCAAATTATCTATTTGTTTGTGATAGAGGCTTGTCCAAAAGTCTGTGCAAATGAATTTAATTATATCCAACTCATCCTTGAATCTTGGCCATTCTCTGGTTAACCTTTCGATTATGCGGTAGCCAACACTGAAGCCCATCCATTCCAAACGTGAAAGATCTTCCTCTTTATTCTATTGAGCAAAGGTAACATAGATATTTACTTATTTCATGAAAATAAAAAAATTTACCAGAAAATTTAAGACAAAAATATTGAGTAACCTTACATTATCATCGGATGATTTGCTCACTACGTAATTGACTATTTCTCCATGAAGGTATTCAAACAGGCATTCATCAGCTTCTGCTTTGGTATTAGAAGTTGGCTTTATATCAGTAAACTGATGTTTCATTTTAATTATTTAGTATACCGCCCGAAAATTTGCTAACTTTTGGGTTAGGTTTTGTTTTTCTACAACGTCATAGGTGCTAAACAAATGTTTTTTATCGTCACATAGTTTTAACTGAAGTATTAATGTTTGTGTAATGCATCTACACGAGTTGAATTAAAATTGGTTTTTTAATATTGCAACGACTCTTGATTATTTACACTCCCGTCAGAAATCGGACACTGTGCACAGCGGCTGCGGGTGAAACTGACATCACACATCACCGAGTCAGCTGAAGCACGTATATGCATGCAATGTATGCATCTGTGTGGTATGTTGTGCATGTTGCAGTGAATCCCAAAAAAGTCATTTTTGGACAGATTGACTTTGACATAAGATAAATGTCTCGCTTCGGATTAAATAAATAAATTTTTGAACTTAGGAAGTAAATACAATAAAATGAAAATATTTTCATGAAATATACAGAGTTTCAAATACACCTTATTTCGAGTGGAATTAATTTTTGTCCCCAAGATATTGTTACGTTTTACGTTTAACACACAGGTATGTGTAAAAATGAAAAAAAATTATCGATTTCTTTCCCTTTTAAAATTTTTATAGGTAAAAGGGAAAAAAAAAAAACGCGTTCAGAATATGTTGTATTAATTATAAAAAAAAAAAAAAAAAAAAATGGCGTAAATGAATATAGTTGACGATTTTTTAATCCTAATTACTTCTCATAGTGAATAAACTAATTTAACTAATTGATAATGAAATGGCACTAAACGATAATTAATTTGATGGGAATCTCTGTAACTCCCCATAATTCTATCCGATTTTCACCATTTCTCGTTGCAGTGCGAGCAGCACGATCAGTTAAAAAACCCTTATCAAATTCCTCGTGTATACGTAATATTTTGCCATTATTCACCTTTATACGGCTAAATAGGCATGAGCGAAACCGGTACTTCGAGACAAGATAAGACGATCTCGAGGGAAAATTTTGAGACAATAGATTCCAAAGGCTCGAAAGCCTTAATGACTTTCCTCGGGACCTTTGGGACTTTAAAGAAGCTTTTTTCAATGACCCCTCAAGACGACAAGTCTCGTGTGTACATCATTTCTCGGTATCGTACATACCTCATATACATACCACGCTAATATTTTAAAACATTATTAAAAACCACGCCCATTTTTGTCTAGAGATAAGCTAATGGAATACCTTATCACCATTATCTGTCGTAAGGAAAGAAAAAAAAAAAAAAAAAAAGCATTATAAGCATATTATATACAATGCGATATACCTACCTACAGACAGAGATAAGACGGGGTTGCGCCACTCGTGATGGTGATAAATTTTTTTACTCGAGCATGAGTAAGGCATTTTTAACTATTTTCAGGATTTCGTCTAGCATTATGAATGAGTAAGACGAACCAGAATGAAGTTATTGTGACTGTCGCATTAATGGCTCAAGCAGATTCAGATTAGATAAGCTGTCTTTTACTGGAACTCTGTTTCTTGAATACAATGTCTGGCGGAACTTGGACGCATATTTGACTTATGTGTATACGTATATTATGTCTCTGATAAGCGTGTATTTATATGTAGGTACCTCGGAATAAACCCACTAATGAGTAACTACGATTTGGGGTCCAAATAAACACGTTTTGTGTGACCTACCGTTAATTTTTAAAACTTTCTCTTCTTACTTGTTCAGGGCACGGAACTAAAGACCTGTAAGCGACACATTTGACCACCTTAGCTCACGGTAGTATAGTTTCTACGAGGACTTTTCGTTTTTTCATTCTTAACGTATGAACAATTTTCAACATTATAACTCTTTGCTCAGGAAAAACCAAAGTCGGTCTTGCACGAAAAAAGTTGAAATCGAGTACCTGAAGGCTATCAAAAAAGCCAAGTTTTAATTTAAAAATAATTGCTTGAAATTAAAATTATTTCTTTAACTCACGTGTACACTCTGAGCGGCAATCCCGCTGAATTTTCGATTTTAACTTTTTTAACTTTGTGAGCTGTTCGAAATCTTGAAAAAGTAATTTTGCCATTCGAAATCTGTAAAATGCCCACGAGTGCCATTACCGCCTAAGCTATATATTGTATATACATGACTGATGGGCCACAGGGACTGTTGGATACGGCGCTCGTGGGGCGAATCCTGCTTTTCCTACCGAGGATCAATTTTAGAATGGGCCAATATAGTTTTAGTTTTCCGGCTGAAAAAAAAAAAAAAAAAAAAATGGCAGCGATTTCAGAAATTGCTGAATTTACACGCGCAATTGCCAAGTTCGAATCAACGTTTCAAAGTGACCGTAAAAAAACGAGGAATCAGCACGCGTATCGCAATATCGCGTAAAACAGAGAGAAAGAGAGAGAGAGAGAGAGAGAGAGAGAGGAAGGTAAAGAACAGAGGGAGAGTGGGCGGTTTTTCGAGTGCGGGTCGAAGCTGATGTGTTTGCGAGCGCTCTTGCACGGAGCCAAGGTCCGTGGCGCGGCTCCGAGCTCCGAGCGTGGCTCGTTCTCATGGACTTTGGGAAAGTAAAGCATCGAGTCGTGCGTCCATGGAATTCCGGGGGCGCGAATGTACACGAGAGAGGACTGCTCTGGTACACAACACATACTATAGTCCATGCATACACACTGGTCTAGTAGGTATACAGATACTATACAGGCAGTGCGTTGCTCACTATCATCAGCGTTCCTTCGAGTGGCGTCCCGGCTATCCGATATATAAGTACAAACACACAGTTTGCGCGTGTTGTTCATCATCGTCATTAAGTAGTGTATATTAAGTACCGCAAAAGTTTTTACAGATATACATATATATAGGTAGTTATTATGTCGAGAAAAAAAAGCCCTTGCTTCGGTTAGCCGCTCATCATCGGGCATCCAGCATTACATAAACATTATTACATAGAAGCGGGTACAGTTGCATCCGTAACGGGAACACCCGCGGTGATTCGAGGCGGGGGCAGCCAAAATTTGAGTCGACGATTTAGTTATCGGTTATCATCCGTACAACACAAATCGACGCGCATACTCGAGATAGCTTATCGAGTGGGCACATCGGGCACATATACGCTTCGATACCGCGCTGAATGCTGCGGCCCATCCGTCCGCCGTCGCTGCACCGAAAGCTAGCAGACAGGGTAAGTGTACGCGCGCGCGTCCCCCCTGCGTTAGCCCTCCCCGCACGCCAGTGTACGTCCACCAGTAGCCACGGATGTATCTGTGAACCCGCTGCTGGTAGCAGTGTACAGGAGTTGTACGGTATAGTGTATCAGGTACCTGTTACTCATACATATATACATATCATTATTATCTAGTGCACTTTTTTTTTTTTTTTTTTTATCACCAAAGTATATACTTTCAAAAGTCCATACGAACAGTTAATCGTGTCCATACCCCCCCGCTCCTTTGCGCGTTACACAATTAATTATAAATAACGGCTCGACCGTTTGGTGCGTTCACATAACGCGCACTGCTCGTAGAGCTGCGCTGCCCCCCCCCCTTGCATCGTTCCTACGTATAGGTACGCATCTTAAGTATAATATACTGAACACTCTCTAATTTCGCCGACAGACGACATCCATCAGCCATGAAGTTTTCGGAGGGTGATCGGGTTCTTGCGAAAGTGCCCTCCACCCAGGAGTTCGAGGGGGCGAGAGTGATCAGCGCCAGGGGCGGCAAGTACAAGGTGCAGTTCGAGGGAGGCTCGGAGCAAACGCTCGGCGAGGCCGATGTCAAGGTACGTGGCCAAAGTAACTCAAAGTCATAGGCGCCGCGCGAACATTGCCCGCGTGGCGCGCGCTTTTATTTTGAATGGTTTCTTTGCCCTCCTCCGCCCCACCGCCATCCCTCTTTGGCCTCTCTTTTATCCCCAGCTGCGTGTGCCGCTATTTACCGCCTTATAATACGTGTATATACTCTTCTGCCGTGTGTGGTGGCATCCCCGCCACATGGCTTCGAAAATACAAGCAGGTTTTTAGTGTTTCGTTTTTTTTTTTTTCTCAGGCCAGAAGAACCTCGAGGAGCCAAACGAGGTCCAAGACGAGAGTCGGTGCAAAAAGCCCCACGAGAAATTCGCCCGGGCGAAGGTCACCGGGACGAAGATCTCCCGCCAGAGCGCCCAACACGCAGTCCAGAAAACTGCCCGTACGGCAGCCGAGGCAGCCTAAAATTTCCATCCCAAGATTAGAAATTCCAAAAGGTTGGTCTCCCAAATGTTTTTTTTTTTCTGTTTCGCCCCCCTTCCCCACGCGAGCGCTAAAATTATCACACCATTTTTCTTATTTCGCTATTTTTTCACTCCCAGAAAATCTTGTTGCTTTAGGTTTTTCATGATTGTTTTTTTTTTCTTTTTGTTTACATTAGTTGAGTTAAAAGATCTGTGCGCGATCTAAATCACCACAACTACTTTTACGGTCACTATAAAGATTTTCTTTTGATTATGTCATTTTAGAGTATAAACAAATAAAATGGTACAACTCTTGATTGTAATATTTGTTTTTTATTTGTAACTCGTTCTATATTAATTTTTAATGCATTATAATACAATTTGAAAAATCGCGCGGAACAATTTTCAACTCGACCTAGCTCTTTCAACCAATCCCACAAGAAAAAAGGCTTCGGTGACGTGACAATCGGGGAATTCTTAAGCCAATGTGTTGGAAAGTATAGTTGTTCCGATCTTTACGGAATGTTTGCCACTTCTATGCACTGTACTTTTACTTTGTCTAATTACAGATAATTCAAGCGATACCGATAGAACGGAAGGATCAGAAAGTTTGAAAGATGAGTTTGTTGAGCCAAGTATGAGATCGAACTATAGAGAGCTTGGTCCCGTCACACGACGCTCCATTCGTATCATGTCAAATGCGTCCAAAGCAGAACATGACCAAAAGTTGTCATTACTGAAAGGTGCCGATCGGTCAGCGTCGCTTCCAGCTGAAAGGAAATACGATGCTTCATCCGAGGGGAAAGAGAGAGGCTTCTCAATGCAACCCGACGATGTAATATTTGTCACTAAAATTGTTATTTTTTTATAAACCATTTTTTTTTGTAAACGATTTTAATTTTCTAGGACGTGTTAATACTGGACTATAAAGATAAGGCTGACGGAGATTCTGGAGAAAAGCGTAAAAAAATTAATCTGATTAGTAAACCACAAGAGTGGGGTGGCTGGTTCGGAGCGCTTCTACTGATACTCTTTACTCCAGTTTACGCCCTTCTGTTGCAACTTGTTTGCTCATTCAACAATTGCAAATACAAAAATATTTTCAATTTAGTCAACAAGCGTGATTGGAAATCTTTATTTGATCTCAACGCCTTTCTAATGTATGCCGGATTTATAGCATTTGTTGCAATTATGTCTGCATTACCGATTGGTAGGCTTATTGACGGTCAACAAACCAAAACTGGTCGTCTGCAGTATCGCATTAACGGTAAAAATTTATTTTTTTTCTTCAACGTTATTTCTTTTTTATTTCATGTTCCGATAAGTTTTGAGAAATTTAATGTTATCAAAATGTTTTCAGGATTTTGGACTCTTCTTTTTTCAATATCAGCCCTTTTTGGATGTCACTATTATGGATATCGCGTCGATGACATTATAATTGGAAAATTAATGCCATTATCAGTCGTTGGCTTGATTTATGGGATAATATTGTCCATCGCTTTATACATAAAGGCTGGTCGAATTCCCGTATCAAACCTTAATATGTATGCTGCCACCAACAACAGAATCTATGATTTCTGGCAAGGCAAAGAAGTCAACCCCCGAGTTGGACCTTTGGATATCAAATTAATTTTAATGAGAACAGCCTTGATTGGAACGGTAAAAATTGAATTTGTATACAAAACGTATTTCTTAATTAGATTTGACTTTTATACGGAATGGTTCCAGATAATTGTTAATTTGGCTGCAATCTTCAAAATCTCTGAAATTAAACTTGGCTGGAGCAACGTGGATCCCGTTGCTATAGCTGTAGTGTCATTGCAAATAATTTATGCTCTTGATAGTCTGATTTTCGAAGCTTCATTTTTATCATCCTTTGAAGTTCTTTATGAGGGAACAGGATACATGCTCAGTCTTGGATATTTAATTTATCCATTCTTAACCAGCATAAGCATTAGATACTTATCTCATCACAAGTATGTTTTATTAAAGTGTTTTGACTTTATTGTGTGGAGAAAAGAAAAAAAAACAAACATTAATATGCATTTTTCAATCATTTTAGAGTCCAGCAGCCCCTTTATTTACAATGCTTCTTCATCATCACTTTCATCATAGGGTATGTGGTTTATCGGCTTAGCAATCATCAAAAGGACAAATTTAGGCAAAATCCATTTGAATCGTCTGTATCTAGTGAGTACACAAATATTTCACACCGATTTTTTGTTTGAGTTGTATTATTTTTTTAGATAAGTTTCCTTGAAAAAAGACATTAAAAATTTGATAAATTTCTAGAACTAGAAAGTATACCAACCAAGAGAGGGAAGCGTTTGATTGTGTCAGGATGGTGGGGATACGTCCGGCATCCGAATTATCTTGGAGACATTATAATGCACTGGTCGATTGCTTTTCTCTGTTTTTCCACTGATGCATTACCCTACATTCTTGCAATACAGACGACATTATTACTCATTCATAGAGCAGTAAGAGATAACGCTCGGTGTCAAGATCGCTATGGATACGCTTGGGAGCAATATTGCTCGCGCGTCAAGTACAGAATAATAAAAGGAATTTTTTAAAAAACCTTGAAAAATTGTGAAAATCAATAACTATGCGTTCTTTGAAATGCATTTATAAATTGTGTATGCAATTTAAAATTTAATTGACAAACTGCTTGGAAAATCCAATTATTCGAGCATGACGTTTCGAGAGATTTAGCAAATTTCATCATAATTAGAAGTATTATGAAATTAATAAATGCATTTCAAAATGTTTAGACCCCAAGTGAGACCTTCAGCGGCCTTAGTGAATGAACTTTTGGCGGGTCGCATCAATTGTGCAAAGGCAAATGAGACTTTAAAATTGACATGAGCCTCTTTCGCACATCAGATCTCGTCAAACATAATTTTTATATATTTACCCTTTACCTGTGAACTGAGAATGTTTTAAAAATTGGCAGATAATGAATGAAGTATTTGTGCATGACATTTTACTGTATAAGAATAAGCGATGAGGAGTTTTATACTTTTTTATAAACATATACATGTATAAAAAAATTTTTATATATATATACATATACATAATGATGTAAAAGTGGTGGCACTATATAGATGACAAATTTTTTTTCATTAATAAATAAAATTGCAGTTTGATCCTCATAAATGATTCTTTTAATTCTACGTTTTTTATGTGATATATATTATGACCTCCAAAAAATATGAACAAAAATTCTTGGTATGAAAAAATTAAATTGTAACTAGCGATATTCAATACAATTGTAAAGTTATATTACGTTACAAATATAAAAGAGTTTATATTATATAGCTACCGTAAACGAGTAGGTGATTTTCTGAATTTTTGAAATTAAAAAAAAATCAAATGGTAACTTTAATTTTTGCTATGTGTTGTAATAATTTAGTCAATGTCTGTTTCACATGTGCTGTGATGGAATAATGGTATGATAAAAATCGAATCCGTGCACTTTTTACACTTGTAAAGATAATTGGCAATACAATAGGTATACAAATTTTCACGAATTTATTTTGTAAACTTTGAAATACTGTTAATTAATAAAACTAAATATAAAGTATATTATAAGTTAATTTATTAATTTTTTTTATGTTAGTTCATGCTACCCTTTAGGTTTTAAGTATTGCGTAAAAACTGGCAGTATCGATGAATAATTGCTGAATTAATTGTGTCCACTTGACTCTGACGAGGTCGATTAGTTCGAAACTTTGTGTTGTGAAAAACGCGTGTTTTAAATAAAGGTGTGTAGAGAGCAGAGAGTGAAAAGAACCTTTGTCCCGAGACTCCCGAGCTATAGG